ATATAAAACTAACATATCATTTATGTAACCTCACTTAACTAGCTTCCATGGCTAACGTAACTTAGGTAATTCAGTACCTGTTGGCTACAGTGGAAACTTCTGTGCTTGTAAAATGGGCTACATTTTGCACTGTTGTTACCATTTACAAGAATTACTCTCCAGCAAAGTTACAGCCTACTCCATGTATTCTTTGTGGAGGCTACACTTCTTGATGACTGTAACTACTGTCCTGAGTTGATGGTACAGAGAAATATCCAGTCAGCTGTTTGATGAGTTTGGCCATGCCAGCTTACATTTCGTTTTGTCACCATTATTTTTCAGTGCATATAACTCACCATTATTTTTATATTCAGCCTGATATGTTGCCTTTTCACATTCATTTGGCTTAGACTCTCCGTGTAAATACTTGCGTACCGTGCCTAACCCTCCCTATGGTAGGGAAAACTCTGCATGCAGTGATACAGGACTAGTAGCAGCATATTAATTAATTACTGTTCTTATATTATCATCATGTGATAAAATGACCAGAAAGCACTGACCTACTCAATACAAAACAACTGGTGTATGCACCTTGGTTGAAGGATATTTTCATGGCTCGAGAAATGCAAAAGAACCAACTTGAATACTTGAATTTGATACTTACAATTTGGATATGGAGTTATTCTATGTATAATTTTTTTTTTCAATGTATTTGTTATAGTTTCGAAATAATGCATTTGCTGTAGTGTGCCTGGAAAGAGTTTTCACATCAGATTAATCCTGTTAAGGCATTAAAAAAAAAAACATGTTAAAGTGTCATTATGATATTAAATGTCCTCACCATTCTGGCATCAACAAACCTTTTCTTTCTCCGCCAGCCTTTCTGCGATGGATCTCACAAGACAAAAGCACCAGGCATCTCTCCAGTTATCTTCACCCCTGACAAAGACAGAAAGGTCCTGCTGTGCGCCTGCAAGCAAACAAAAAACAAACCATACTGTGACGGCACGCATCTTAGGGTCATCTTCCAGGATTTACTGAAGTCTGTGAAAGGCGTCTTTAAATAAACAGCATTTGAGAGTTCTGCTGTGTGAGGCCTGGGAGCAGCACCTGCAGTACAAGTTAACAAGAGAAACCTTACAGTACCTTGTCTCGGCAGAATGAGACGACTCATTACCCTTGACAGCATTAAAATGAAGCACATTACAGCTGTTTGCCTTTGTTGGAAAGTTGGGAAGATTCATCATCTTCATATACATTCTCTGTATAGAGAAACTGTATTTGATAATGCATATTTTCTTTGCATTCCACATTGTTATACAAGTGCATAACCCATTAAAATGCTTATCTGAGGTCATCAGTCCAACAGCCCCTTCACATCCAGATCGTTTTTGTAAAGTCCTGAAACTTTTATCACATTTTCTGTGTATAGTTGTTTATTTCTTTCAACTAATTTTTGAAAAGAAATGTTTCCAATATTTGTTCACGTCAAAAAAAAAAAGGTCTAGAGTTTGTCTGCATGGTGAACTGATTTCTGTCTGATTTTTTTTAAGTTTAATTCAGCTTGAACTTTTTTCATTATTTTACTGTTATTACCATTCATTTTTTTTGTGCAGGGATTAAAGGATTATTTAGTTCTTAGAATGTTTACTCCGCCAGGAATACTGCATCTCAAAAATGTTGGTATCCCTTTAAAAAAACTCATTAAGGATATATTAAAATGTTAATTGCAGGACGGGGTCACAATGCACAGAGATCCTGATTTATGTGTCCTCTGCTATCTTCAGCTCTGGCCTTAAAGGTTAATGTTGAATAAACCCATGAAAATGTTTTTTTTTTTTTTTTTTTTTGGTTTCTCCTAACTGTGGATGGAGTGATGTCTCGTGGAGGAGCAAAGGGAGGCTCACGTGAAACTCAAATGAGGGTCGGAAGTGAAAAATAGAATGGGGAGATGGAGTGAAGTCTGTATTGTTTTAGTTCTAACGATATTAGGAGAAAAGGTATTAACATATGTAGGATGTGATCTTTTTGTTAAGAAGAGGAGCGATTTTTCGATAGACCTGAACGACTTTTCTGCTATTGAGCCATACTGTCCTGTGCACACACATGATACAATGCATGTCTATGGGCCTGTGGATTAACCTGGAAACAAACATTCAATGCACGGTGGCTCTCCACGTTAATGCTATGGCTGTTAACTTACAAGAAATTCAGACTCACCGTTTATACTCGGGTAGCTGTACATTAGTATATCTGATTGTATTAGGTCATAGTTGACAGTAATGCAAATAAATAAACAGTACTGGCAATGCATAGAAAAGTATGTTAAACACGAGGAGTAATAGATTTAACATGTGCATGAAGCAATGTATAATTTCATCCCAAAGAGACGTGCTTAAAACGCTTCAGTGAAAATGTCATTAATTTCCCTTTTAACTTTTAGAACGTGTATTTATGTTTTTCACTTTAAGAAATATACCTAATCGGCCATAACATTATGACCACCTGCCTAACACTGTGTACACAGGAGTCAAGCAGTTGGTTGGCACTCGTGTCACTCTGCAGCTCACTGTGCATCTTCTGTGTATCTGTGTATTTCTATAGTTCTACTGTCAGGAAGAGCACAGATGTGTCAACCATTCAGTGAAAAACAGTAAAAAGTGAAAAATGTGGACATGAGGACAAGTTAGAGATGATGTTTTAGACCAGTTCACCAGCCTCCCCACTCTAGGTGTGATATCACTACTAGAGCTGCTCAGTGTTTCTCTTCAGAGAGACCAGGGTACAGTATTTATCTTTAACCATTTTAAATTTTAATCTTTTGAAAAATGGAAATGGAATTTAAAAGTTTAATCTACAGTATTTGAACCTTATCATCAGTGAGCCTTGGGCGTCCATGACCCAGTTCATTGTCAGTCCTTCCTCAGACCACTGTTGGTAGGTACAGTACTAACCACTGCAGACCAAGACCCACCAAGACCTGCAGTGTGGGACCCAGTCACCAATCATCACAGTTTGGCCCTTGTCAAAGCTCCTCAGATCCTTACGCTTGCCTGTTTTTCCTGCTTCCAACACATCAACTTCAAGGAACTGAATGTTTACTTGCTGCCGAATATACCCACACACTGACAGGGACCATGGTAATGAGATAATCAGTGTTATTCACTTCACCTATCAGTGGTCATAATGTTATGGCTGATCGATGTATCCTCAGTGTCAATTAGGTAGACGTATGTAGACTTCCTGACTGAAAGAACACAGGTGGTCAGAATGGGAGGGTGGATGTCTGCTGAGCTCACAATCAGCACAGGCTCACCGCAGGGCTGCTGTCTCAGCCCCAGACTCTTCATCCTGTACACCCACGACTGTGACACCACCATTCTGGGTCTCATCAAGCGGGGAGATGAGTCAGGTTACAGAAGCTTGGTGAACAACATTCTTGTTTATGGAGAGGAGAATGACCTCAGCCTCAATATATATAAGACAAAAGAAATGATAGTAAACTTCAGGAAGAACCCCTCCCCCCTCTGCTGCCTCTGACCATCAAAGGGACTGAGGTGGAGAGGGCTGACAGCCACAAGTTCCCGGGCCTGCAGGTGACATCTGACCTGAGCTGGTCACTGAACACAGCTGCCACAGTGAAGAAAGCCTAGCAGCAGCTATAATTCATCAGGCAGCTCAGAAAAGCTGGGTTGAACAGTGGACCCCTCACCCAGGTTTATAGAGAACTGGTAGAGAGCATCCTCACTACTGGCATCACAGTCTGGTATGGTAACACCACACAGGCAGAGAGGAAGACTCTTCAAAGGGCCATAAAGACTGCAGAGAAGATAACTGGGACTGAACTGCCTGCTATGGACACACTGTACCCACAGCACTGTTGTAAAAGGGCAGAGAACATACTCAGGGACCCACGCCACCCAGCTCACTCCCTGCTCAGACACAAAAACTGCACCTACAGCCTCAGCCACAGCAGAGTGGACAGTATCATCACACACAGAACTCGACTTTACAACAGCTTTTTCCCTGCTGCAGTAAGACTGATGGCAAATACAAAAATGTGAGAATATATGTGCAATAACCCCTCACTACCTCACCAAGCGTAATGACATATCCAACTCCACCATGTGAATTACTAAGTGCGATGTTTGAGGTTCACTGTGGGAAATACTATTACTCTATTTTTGTGTATTATGTTTTAATACTTTGTCGCCCTTATGTAACTTTTCTATTTTAAGACTGAAGGCTCAGTTGGTCATCACAAATGCAAGACGTGGTCAGAACTGGGTCGCCCAAATCCTGTTTTTTAATGTTTTCAAATTTAGAGGAGAGAGAGCATTTAGTTATTTTTCTCTCAATTTACACAAGATACCAAGGACACAACCTGCTAAGTTAATCAGGAAATCATACACAGGACAATCAGGTCAGAAAAACCTAGTAATTAAACATTTTATTGACCTAAAACATGCACGTATGGCTGATTTTAAAGAAAAGTATCATTATTTGTTGAAAAGAAACAAAAGGAATGTTGAAATGTATGGAACTACAACATACACAGCCAAATATTCAAATCCCTTTTGTGTTCTTCGACTGCCACAAGAGAAACAACATGGTCTGCTGACAAACATCTGGTCACGAACACGGTAGTGTTTGGAATTCTGTAAACAAAAAGGCTTCTCCGGTTGGAAAATACTTGTTGGTTTGAGTTGTGTGATCTGACCTTAACAAAGTGCATCAACAGTTTTATGTAATGAAATGTGTTGCCTGATGAGCAGTTGCTTATACTGGACATTTATACAGCAGTTATTAACAGGACTGTTCAAAGGCAAATAGCTTTTTTCTTTACATCCAACTTGGGCAATGATGAGCACTGCAGTGCCTCTCAGCATTTTGTCTTGTGGAAGCCAAAGTAATGCTCATGGAACTATGGAAATGAAACAGACCCACTGCATATACAATACAAAACGATTACAATCTTGTATAAAAGATAAGTTTATACATATGTATACACACATGCTCACATTTGATACATACTGTACAGTTTGTATGTGTGCATTGTTCTAGTCTAACACATAAACACACATACATACAAGTGTCTA